TAGTTCAAAATAAGATAGCAATTCTATTTGTGCTTACAAGGGAGTAAGTCCCATCCAGCTCACTGGGGATTCCTTTGAGTAGACATAGGACGTGGGCCAGAAAGTGAAAATAAAGTGGAAATGAGGCATTCCGAAAATGGGAAAAGCAGGGAAATGCTCCCAAATGCGCATTTGCTTTTCACATTATGGTAAATGCGAAATTACCTTAATTTCGCATTTGCATTTCTTCCAAACAACCGAATTTCAAAAGATCTCGGTTAACACCAGTTTCTGTCCACTTTCTGTCCAGTTTCTGTGCGACATCGTGTGAAAACGCGGGGCACAAATCCAGTTTCTGTTTGGGATTTGTGTGGATTAACCAGCAGATTTGCCCCCATGTGATAACATCCATATATAGTTTTGCAATGAAAGCTGCTTTCCTGCCTTTTACTCTACCCAGGTTTGGAGTTCTGAATCCAGATCAAGTCCTTTCCCCCAATGTCTTATTCCTTGTAAACTGGCATTGTTATTTTCTAAGGGATCCTTATTAGTAAAGAAATATCTTTATTCCAGCAGATCCTACCCCTGTTCTCAAGAGTTTCTTTTCCTAAGCAATGGCCCTGTCTGCCCCAGATGGATTTTCTGTGCTTCGGTGGACTGGAAAATAACACCTTCAAACTTCTACAGAGAAGCAAAGGTGCTTTAATTACCAGCCATCTTGCTGCAAAGGCTGCTGCTTGCCATGACTTTTAGAAAGATGAGGATAAGATGAGATTTTGCAGCTTTGGTCTTTCTCTCTGCCTTCTGCAATAATTAAAAGTGTAAAATTGCACCTTGGCTGGACACTTCAGCTTAAAGCACACAAACACCAAAGTTTCTTGATACTGTAGCACATGCAACCAGCAAGGTAGGTGATACCAAAGCTACATGATGTTGAGGAAAGGCACTCTGCACATGCTCGGGGGGGGGAATAACCTTGTCCAAGAAAAGCTGAACTCTGTTTTAAAAGTTAAAACCAGCACTTTGGATTTTTACTGGAATGAATGATCAACAAAGGTGTTTTGGAATGGCAAAATGTATCTAGTGTGATGAGTTTTGGCTAAAAAAAATCTAGCTATCATATTGTGAACAAACGGCAGTTTTTGGTTAGTCTTCAAAACTAGCACCCTATACAACACATTGCAGAAATCCATCTTCAGTATTATTGGGGGCATGAGTAACAATGGGCAAGTTACCTCTTTCTGGACTCAGATGCTGCTTGTACACAACCCTCAGCTGGTGAAAGGTGTTTTGTGGCACCTGGGCATCATGAAACAGACAAAATTACAGCAAATTGATACTACTTTAACTGGGATGGCTCTGTCCTGTGGAATCCTGGGATGTGTAGTTTGGTGAGGTGCCTTCCTCTAAACTAGCAAAGAATATGAGAACCTCCTTAGACAACTACAAATCCCAAGATTTCATTGGCTGAAATAGTTAAAATCATATCTGAGTAGTGTGCCTATA